GAGAAGCAGGCTTCCCGCCGAGCAGGGAGCCCGATGCGGGGCTCGATCCCAGGACCCTGGGATCATGACCTGAGCCAAAGGCAGACGCTTAACAACTGAGCCACCCAGGCGCCCCGGTTTTCTTAAAGATTTTATTTATTTATTTGACAGAGAGAGACAGCGAGAGAGGGAACACAAGCAGGGGGAGTGGGAGAGGGAGAAGCAGGCCTCCCGCCAAGCGGGGAGCCCTATACGGGGCTCCATCCCAGGACCCTGGGATCATGACCCAAGCCGAAGGCAGAAGCTTAATGACTGAGCCACCCAGGCGCCCCTCTTGGATTCTTTCTGAAAAATCAGAAGAATATATGTTGGCAGCTTACATGTCTGGCTTTCAAAGTGCCTGTTTTCTTCCAACAGTCAGACCTTTTTCATGTTTTATGCAGTCCTCAGACTTTTCTATGAACAACCCTGAAAGTTCCATCTTTATTCCCAGATCTCCACTGCTGGCTTCTTAGTGGGGAAGCACCACCTGACTGGTGTGAGATGTAGATGGAAAGAGTGGTCCCTAAATTAGAAAGTCTAGGGACAAGGTGTGACTTGCGGGCCAGTTCGGTGCCTCAGCTTTACCACTTCTGAGCTGAGAGGGCTTGACAGACTGCAGTTCTCCCGAAGGGGGAGAGAGACACCCCAACGAAGGGCAATCCTGGTTTTCCTCCTCATCCGTTCCTCAGAGTTGTCATCTCGGCTCTCCTTGGGCGAGCCCTGGCCGGAAACTTGGTGTCAGTTCAACATATCCCTCTGTTTCTGCCAGAGTTACTCAGCTTCACGTCTCAGCAAACTCACCCAAGCGCGCCAGCCTCTGAGAGGTTTCCAGACTCATTAAGTTCTCAGGAGAAACCCCAAAGGACTTTGATAATAATTAAAGGAAGTTCCTGGGAGTTCTAAGCACCATACCTTTATTACCATTCCTGGTGGACCTGGACAGGTCTGGATTTGGGGGAAGGAAGAAGCAGCAAAGGAGCTGCTATTTAGAACAGCTGTATTTTGGGCGCCTGGTGGCTCCATCAGTTAAGCATCTGCCTTCCGCTCAGGTCATGATCCCTGGGTCCTGGGATCGAGTCCTGCATCAGGCAGGAGCCTGCTTCTCCCTCTGCCGGCTGCTCTCTAGCTCTCTCTCTGACAAATAAGTAAGTAGAATCTTCGGGAAAATGAAAATAGAATACCTATGTTTTGCCAAGCAATCTGTCACAGGTTCACATTTGCGACAGTTGGGGAGAGCGATCCCTGGCATTCCTCAAGGGTAAAGATTGACTCTTGTTTGAGGCTTGACTTCTGTTTTCATATTGACCTTGAATTACATAACTGGATTTCCAAGGTGAAAGTCTTGATGATAGATGTATTCTGTGACATTCCCGGTCAGCCAGTCCCCTGAGCACCTATTTATCTGCATGTGGAACTCGATGGTTCTCTCCTGACCAACTCTTTCCAACTGTAAAAGGAAGTAAATGAACCCAACTTTTAGGGGGTTCACAGGGATAAGAAAGTAGGTAATAAAGCATCTGAGATTTTTAGGAAGAATGGAGTTCTTGCTATGAGTTATAGTTATGAGTCTTTCCTTTCTGCTTATAAAATGCACAAATCTCTCTCCTTTTTAAAAACACTCCCCTGGGGCTCCTGGCTGACTCAGTCAGTGGAGCATGAGACTCTTGATTTCAGGGTCATGAGTTCAAGCCCCATGTTGGCTATAAAGATTACTTAAAAACAAAACAAAACACTCCCTTAATGCTGAACTTCTTATTAGTTTACACACTTTTCCACGTACTCTTCATAGCAGGTTCTTTTTTTTTTTTTTAAAGATTTTTATTTATTTGAGAGAGAGAGAATGAGAGATAGAGAGCACGAGAGGGAAGAGGGTCAGAGGGAGAAGCAGACTCCCTGCCGCGCAGGGAGCCCGATGCGGGACTCGATCATGACCTGAGCCGAAGGCAGTCGCTTAACCAACTGAGCCACCCAGGCGCCCCATAGCAGGTTCCTAAGAGAGAGAAATCTATTCATGTTCTCTTCACTTCACCTTTGACTCAGAAATTACACTTCTGGGGCGCCTGGGTGGCTCAGATGGTTAAGCGTCTGCCTTCGGCTCAGGTCATGATCCTGGGGTCCTGGGATCGAGTCCCGCGTCAGGCTCCCTGCTCAGCGGGAAGCCTGCTTCTCCTTCTGCCTCTCTCTCTCTCTCTCTCTCTCATAAATAAATAAATAAATAAATAAATAAATAAATAAATATCTTTCAAAAAAAGAAATGACACTTCTGTAATTTTATCCGAAGGGAATATTGAGAGATGCATACAAAAAGGTATGTATAGGGGCACCTGGCTGGCTCAGTCGGTAGAGCCTGAGACTCCTAATCCCACAATAATAACGGACGGGACAAAGAAAAATGGGGCAAAGGTCGCTCACCAACTGTCTCTTCAAGGAAGGGTCTAACGGCTGACTGACGTCTGTTTACATTCTGCCAGCATGTTTATCTAAGGTGGAATTGTTCATCTATCAGAGAAGAAAGGAACTGCGAATGTTATTACTTGGCCTCGAGACTCGAGTTGATGAGGGTTGGATTTTGGGCAAAGAACGACTCGGATAGTTGGTCTGAAAGTCATTTTTCCATCTGTTTGAAGGTTCCCAGGGTCCCATTTTGTATGTCCCTGTCTGGAGGGGAGGTGATCCCACTGGGATGCCTTGCTCCTATCCACAATTCATACATGTTTTGGTGCCTAATCTGCTTTATAAAGTTGGTATCTTCCAAACCTCTCACTCGTGTGTTCCAACCCCAAAGGCTGGTATAGCCGCCTTTGGCTCAGCCAGAGGCCACTTCTGTCAACCAGCTGCTGCTGAGTAAGGCCCTTGACGCAGTTCCTTGCCCACGGCCGAAGCTCACTTACTTATTGCTTACTTAAATAAATTGTTCTTTGATTTGGGTTGTACCCAGTTCCACATGAGAAATAGAAGAGCAAGACACAGGTCTCTTCTCATATTTTGATGTTAGGTCGGGGAGACACACAAAGCAACAGAAAATAAGAGAAATGCTGTATCGAATCAGGTGCTAAGAGGGGTGGTCCAGGCCACAGTTGATAGAAAAGTTCAATACGATTCCTAACTGTAAGGAAGGTTGATAGTAAAGAATTTGGCTTTGCCCAAAGAGAGATCTGGCTTTTGCCCTTGGCTTCTGCAAAGTAATCTGTGTCAAACCTAAGAGCAGTATCTTTGGGGTTTTAGGACCAGGGCTTTGGGCCATACAGGGTCAGCCCACCTGGAGGCTGAGGTCAACCACATGGACAGTCAATCAGTCATGCCTAAGCAATGGAGCCCCAATAAAAACTCTGCACACCAAAGCTGCAGTGAGTTTCCCTGGTTGGCAGTACTCCCTGTATGTTGTCACACTTCACTGCTGGCAGAATAACACGTCCTGACTCCCCAGGGAGAGGACAATAGACCGTTCACATTCAGAACCCTCTCAGACTGTGTCCTGTGCATCTCTTCCTTTGGCTGATTTAATCTGTATCCTTTCCCTGTAAAAAAAAAACTATACTTGTAGGGATGCCTGGGTGGCTCAGTTGGTTAAGCATCTGCCTTTGGCTCAGGTCATGATCCCAAGGTCCTGGGATCAAGCCCCGCATTGGGCCCCCTGCTCAGTGGGAAGCCTGCTTCTCCCTCTGCCCCTCACCCTGCTCGTGCTCTCTCTCTCTTGTTCCCTGTCAAATAAATAAATAAAATCTTTTTTAAAAAGAGAGAGAGAGGGGGGCGCCTGGGTGGCTCAGATGGTTAAGCATCTGCCTTCGGCTCAGGTCATGATCCCAGGTCCTGGGATCGAGTCCCACATCGGGCTCCCTGCTCAGCGGGAAGCCTGCTTCTCCCTCTCACACTCCCCCTGCTTGTGTTCCCTCTCTCGCTGTCTCTCTCTCTCTGTCAAATAAATAAATAAAATCTTTTAAAAAAAAAATAAAAAAAAAAGAGAGAGAGAGAGAGAAAGAGGTGGATATCTATTTTTAAGACTATGAATAGGGGGATCTGGCTGGCTCCAGTCAGTGGAGCGTGCAACTCTTGATCTCGGGGTCATGGGTTTGAGCCCCACTCTGGGGGGCAGAGATTACATTTTAAAAACTCAATAAATAAATAAGCAAATAAAAAGACTATCAATAATATCCTCAAATTGAGGTCAAAATGAGGCTTTGGCCCCGTATTAGGTGCTGCCATAGATCAATGCACAAAGAAAAAAAAGAGACGTAAGAGGTCTAGATAGGTCTATGGCATGGCCAAGTGGAGACAGAGATAAGGTGCAGATCTCTGCTCCTGAGACCAGCCCCACTGTGCTGCAGCCCCGTTGGAGGGAGGATGTTACTGGCTCCCTAAGGCTAGAACATCTTTTTTTTTTTTTTTTTTTTAAAGATTTTATTTATTTATTTGAGAGAGGGAGAATGAGAGACAGAGAGCATGAGAGGGAAGAGGGTCAGAGGGAGAAGCAGACTCCCCGCTAAGGCTAGAACATCTTGACTCTGCAGTCAGAAAGCCCGGGTTCACATCCACCTCCAACAACCTTGCAAGCAGGCTACCTAACATCGTCTGTAGAGGCTCCTTCACCAGATGTTCATGAGGTTAAATGAAGCAACACAGCTTTGTACTTTTTATTAAATTGTTATTGCTGTTATTCTTGTAAAGATACACATCATCCTGCGGTGTGTCCACATTTGTTCCTAACCCATACGTCTCCCCAGCTTCAGATCAAAGCCTTGTCTCTTTGGTGTCTGTCTCCTCCCCTCAGCAGCGAGCACAAAGCTCCAAAAGTGTGTTGTGTGGAGGTGTGCACTGATTTCTAGTTGTGTCACGTTTCTAAATCTTACCTCTTTAACTGAAATCTGGATCCTTAAGGGTGCCCCCCGCCCCATACAATTCCTATCACGGGTCTAACACACACCTACCAGAGCTTAGGGAGAAGTTCATACCTGATTAGAAAAGGTGTTTCTTCCTTCCAGGGACTTCCCAGATGACCCAGATGTGCAGTGGGACACAGAGCGTGTGGCCAGCATCCTTCTCCAGCACATAGATGCGAACGGCATCAACCTGGTAAGCGGACACCCTCCCTGAATGCAAAGCTGGGGATCCTGGTCACCCCTTTACCTGTGGCTGCCCTCCCCTAGACTCTCTTTTAAACCTACAGAGGGGGGTCCCTGGGTGGCTCAGTCGGTTAAGCGTCTGCCTTCGGCTCAGTTCATGATCCCAGGGTCCTGGGTTTGAGTTCTGCATTGGACTCCTTGCTCAATGGGGAGCCTGCTTCTCCCTCTCCCTCTGCTGCTTCCCCTGCTTGTGTGTACTCTCTCTCTCTCTGATAGATAGAAAAATAGATAGATAGATAGACAGACAGACAGATAGATAGACAGATAGATAGATAAAATTTAAAAATAAACCCACAGAGGACCAAACACACCTTTTGTGAGACTGTGTAACCAAACTGTCAGGCTCAGGTGGAGGCAGAGGGTTTTTTCCAAACTGTCCTCTTTAACCGTCCCCAACCCCAGCCCCTGCCCTGCCATCTAAAAACTCAGGGCCCTAGGAGCCCAAACTATACTCCTATTTATACAGAACTTCACCTCTTACCAAGCATTTTCATATTTAGGGGACCATTTCAACTTTAAGAGGCAGATGTTACTATAATTTTCATTTGACATTGAGGAAACAGGTTTCCAGAAGCTGAGAAGCTTGCCCGAGGTCAGCAAGGGGTGAAGCTAGGATTTTAAGCCTCAATTTCTCACTCCAGAAAACACAAGGATATATTCACATGCACTGCCGGGAGAATATTTTAGTCACAGATAGAGCAATGGTGGAGATTCATATTTACTTGCAGAGGTGAGCCAGGGTGGGAGCCCCCATCTCAGCTCTACCGGGACCCTCTAGACCAGGCCTTGCCAGTGGTCAATATTAAGGTGGCTGAGAAGGCTTACTGTCCATCTCTGAAATGATAATAATACTCCTTCATGGGTTAATGCCTAAAATTCTACCACCTAAAGCCCTAATCTTTTGGTTTATGTTTTGATGAGTTCTGCTGGCACAGTGCTAAATTCAGTGCTAAATTCACTGAGTGAAATGATTCATGAGAACTTTTTTTTTAAGATTTTATTTTTTTAAATATTTTATTTATTTATTTGCCAGATCGAGAGAGAGAGAGAGAGAGAGAACAGGAACAGGGGGAGTGGCAGGCAGAGGGAGAAGCAGGGTCCCCGCTGAGCAAGGAGCCCGATGTGGGACCCGATCCCAGGACCCTAGGATCACGACCCGAGCCGAAGGCAGCCGCTT